GATGACGTGATTTAATGGCGTCCTATACTCCCTTCGATGTCTCTTGTTCTCCCACTTGAAGAATTAGTGACTCCGGGATTGATTGGAAGAGAAGAGCTATCGCTGCATAGTTCTTCTTCGGATCAGCTAACCCTAGATCGATTGTATCCCATACTTCATTGACTCGAAGTATGACCCTCATCCTCATCGACCAAACTGTATAACTTGTCGATGTAAGCATCAGACATTGGATGGATGAAGTTCCTATTTCCCTAGCTCGCGGTTGTGGTTGATTTACATCCGCCATCACTGGTTCACTGACTTATCAAGGTCTGAGGCTTCCTCTTTGAAACTCTGATACCAATTCAAGTCGATAATCACACAAACACAAGAGTATAAATAACTGCTCTTCTTTATTAGATTTAGAAAACTTCTCAAAAACTAAACCTCTCTTATGTCTTATGGAACAACTCTCCATAAGATCTCTATTTATAGATCTAAGCTACTCCTTAGTCTATTAGGAATGGAAAACACATCTTTTCCATTCTTGATATTTCCTATTCTATATATCTTTAGCTACTCCTAAAGATAACTTCCTCTAGAAACTACTGGAATTATCCAACAATATGGGTTGGTGGTAGATGGCATGTACTCCATTGATAGATTCTGAAAACAGTTTGATATCTCGGCTTGAGTTTGAACTTATACCGGCGGTTCTTGAGCTCCGGTCACTGGTTGTTTAGATAGAGTCTTGGAAGACAATGTGGATGCATCCGTCGTCATCAATTGAGAGTTCTTCACTTTCTCCTTCTATTCAATTAACCAAAACTTAAAACCCTAAAAAAACTTAGATATGAATGGATGACTTTGAGAGCAAGGAAAAAACCTGATCTTCGAGAGAGATGTATAAAATATCAAAAGCATATAAAATACAATATAATTTCTATAAAGTAATAGATTCATTAATATCTCGATAAATTAATATTTTTTGTCAGTCCGAAAATTAGTTTATCAACCAAATAATATAACTATAGATTAATAATCACTATAAATTAGTAATTTTTTTATAAACTTTTAAGGTCCCGATATTATTAATTTATAGATGTTTTACTCTGAACACACCTAAATCAAACCTTCAACCTATATACGAATATAAATCAAAGCTTCAATCCATATACGAAAACTGCAGCAAAAATAAAAAAACAAAAGATTTATATATGTCTCGTACTCAGCTTCATAAAACAGAAGAAATCAAGAGATAGAATCACAGAACCTCATATGCATGACATTATCTCCTTCTCAGTCTCATACTCCACAAAGGTGGTGAAGCACATGTCACTGAAAATTGTAAAAAGATGAAGCAATTTGGTATCGTTAGCAAAAAAAACTGCAAAACCTTAATATAACTGACCAAGCTACACCTCTTAATCTTGTCGTATTTCTAGCCTGCAAAGAAGAAACACAGTTATCCTAAAGTGAAATTTCAAGCTTCAAAGTTTTAACACGAAATCCAACACAAACCCTTACCTCTCGAAGAGTATCCTCCGTAGTAAGATGAGAGAGGCGGCACGCGGAGAGAGTTAAGCCTAACAAAAGAACTAAATACAAATATACTTTGAGCTTTCTAAAAATACCGTATTGATCTATGAAGCGCAAACCCTAGGGGAAAAAAACCAAATAAACGTAGTAACATAATATGAGACTGAGAGTGCCCTAAAAAATAATCTAAATACCAACAACCACGATGATATGATTACTGCAACAGAGAAGAAATCATAGAAACAAAAAAAGATAAAAAATAGTTTGTGATGTATACGAAATCTGCAGCAAAAAAAAGAGATGGGAGATTTATGTCTCGTACTCAGCTTCACAAAACAGAAGAATGGAAGAGATCACAGAACCTCATAGGCACGATGTATCTCCTTTTGTCTATACCTAAGCAGTTGTTTAGATAAATGAGACATATGCGAGTATATATAGCTATTAAAATCTAGGGTTTTCGTTTCGTAATATAATTTTGAGAGGTAGTCGACTTTTCAAATGGTCTATTGGATAATAATTTTAAAAAGTCCATCTGATACATCATATGAGAACCGGTATAAACTATAAATTCCTATAATCATTTCCAAGTACGAACCAAACCAAACCAATCGATTTAAAATTCGAATATTTCCACCAGGGGCAGAAGGCACTAATCCTTCTGAGAAGAGCTGTGGTGTGTTTCTGACTTTGCAAACAATATATTAGATCAGAGTTTTTTTGTTTCTTTTTGCTAACTAAAAAACTCTAAGCCATTATTATTAATTTATTACTATATAGTCTTTTTGGACTGAAAATCAGTCGTGTTCTGATATTTGTGGTGGATATCCCACAAACGTAAATTATATCCTCTCATATGTAACACTAAGGGGATGGTATTAGATTATTGAATTAGATAGAATGTACAAGAATTCAAAAATAATTGATTTCTAAATAATTTAAAGTGTTTTGTTAGAATTTAAACCAATTCTATCAAAATCAGAGTAAAAATGGTAGGAATTGGTTATTTACAATTTTTATGTAAGATTCTATTAAATTCCTTTCAAATGATAATAGAATCAAAGCTATTACAAAATTGAATAATACATATATTTAATAGAATTAGAGAATTAGTATATTAAATAACAATGGTATTTAAAGGATTTTGAAAAAATGTATAGAAATCCTTAATCCAATAACACAGATATTTAAAAGAATTGATAATAAATATAATTGAATAACAGTAATATTTAATAGAATTTTCAATTCTATACAATTCCATCTAATTTCTGAATCCAATACCCCCACCTAAGACCATGTACAACGCAATTCTTAAGAAAATAATGAATCATATATATAATGAGAGAGTCTTCTCTCCATCTAAGGTGTCCACATCAGCATAATTTTTATTTCAAAATGGGCTTCTAAATATTTTGGGTTTTATTTTTAAGTTTTTATATTTTGGGTTATTATTTTTGGGTTTTAATATGATAAATTTGAAACTAAAAATAAATACTTCTTTGTACAAGTCATAGAATTACAAACTTATATTTTTTGTTTATGAAAAAGAATTTGAAAGTCAAACACATACAAAAGATAGCTGAATAAATTTCAGAAAATAATTCTCAAAACATTTTATAAAAAAAACCTTAGAAAGATTTATGTATAAAATTAAAGTAAAATCATTCATATAAAATAAATACTTATTTTACAAATAATAAAACATAAATTTTCTATAAAACAAAAAATTCAAAAATTTATTTTGAATATAAATAAATAGAATATGAAAAGAGTTATTTTGAATATAAATAAATAGAGAGTGAAAAAGAGTTGGAAGGTAAACAATTACGAAAGACGATATAAGAACTTGCAGAGAATAGTTATCAAACTTTTTTTAAAAAAAATTTCAAAAAGATGAATGCATAAAATAAATAAAAATCATTCATATCTACTTTACTATGTAAAATGAATAAATATTTTTTGTAAATGAAAACCTAAAATGTTTAATTATATAGGATAGAAATAAGTTTGATTGATACGAAATAGAAAAAAATGGCAAATACATCAACCATTTTTTCTCAATGATGGCAATATAAAATTAATATTCGATGAGTTTACTCATCAACCGGATAATTTATGAATTTTAATATGAAGTATATAAATAAACTATAACAAGATTATTGATTATATTTGCTAACAGAGTCAAGTTTTTTACCTCCACATGACATGAAAATAGATAAGAATATTTTCACAGACATTCAAAAATATAGTCAAATAGTTCATCATTATCAGATGGATGAACACATCGGAATTATTTTTCAAAAAAAGACAAATGTTTGAAATTAATTAAAATCAAAGTTTTCTCAAGTAAGCATAATTTTTATATATAAAAACATATCAAACTTATGTAACATATGAATAAATCTCTTGCTCTGTCTCACCAATTTTACTTACAATTCTCCTCATTTAGAGTTACAAGCAATCACAAAATTGAATGAGACGAAAGCTTGCATGAAATAAAAGAAAATATCAGTGATTGTAATTAGAATAATATGACTAAGAATATTAAGAAAGGGGAAAAAATAAAATGAATGATAAAAAATGTGTTAGATTTTTTAAAAATCCGATAAAAAAAATTAAGAGAACATTTAGTTTAGAGTGGGGAATGGTCGATAATGATTTTACTTTATCAGTGAAAATGAACTGTAAAAAAATCAAAAACCAATTGAATACAGTTAATAAGTTAGAACACATATAACACTTATTGTAGCGTATAAATATACAAGAAATTTTTTAATAATTAATATAATACATAATAATCTATATTGAAACAAGAAATAAACATATACATAATAATAATATAAAAAATTAAAATTAAACTAATAGATAAGTTTGCACAACTCGCAGATCAAAACATTAAAACTTATCAATAATGTTATCGGTAAAAAAAACAAAATGCATATATTCTCATGAAAAAAAATATACACCTGCACGACTTTAAATTATACAGAAGAGAGACAGTAAATTGAGTCTTCTCATAACATTAATTTAAAAGTAAAAAAAGAAAACTTATTCTACAAATCACACAACTACAAATTCTCAACAAAATAAAAAATTATTTTGAATAAAAAAAATAGAGTGTGTGATCGATTGTGAAATCATTTTACTGATCATGCTGAAAATAAACTACATAAATAAGTTAGTTAAATAAAAATATTTAATATAAAGACATAATTACTTATGTTAACGTATAACTATAAGTGAAATTTTTTAAAAATAATTAAATATCACAATTTATATTAGAGAAAATATTTCATAAAATAAGTTTATATATTTATGATAATTAAAAACTAAAATAATATATAAAATAAAAATAATAAAATAAAATAGAAAACATAATAATTATATAAATTAACAAATAAATACATGTAACGCACGGATTAATTTTTAGTTAAAATAAATAAAAACTAAATTAAACAAGAAGAAACATCTCCTAATTAGGGGTTGGAATAGTCGGATTTTAGTTAGTACATGTTGATATTTGATTGGGAAAAAATTGAAAAGACCAAAAAACAAAACCCCAAAATCAATCTTTCTCCACTCTCTTCCTCTACACCTTCTTCTCTGGTACGATTAACTGTATTCTCTTTGATTTCTTCTCTTTCTCTCCTTTTACGATGCTAGCCCTGTTCTTTTTATCAAGAGCTGCCTCTGCGGCAGCGATCAAAAATCTAAGCTTCAGAAACTTTAAAATTAACACGTGGCAAATCGAAAGCTTCCCAAAAATCCAGAAAAGGAGAAGCCGCGTCTGAAAATAGAGTTGTTGGTGACGCTTAGATTTTTCGGCGTCAAGTTGAATCAAGGCGCATGCCGTTGTCTGTTGCCGCTGCGTCTTCATCCATCACCACCGACGTCATATTTGATTGATTGTTTAGCATTCGTGATTGACTTGCATGTTTTACATTCTGTACAAGCATCTAACTTTCAATATTGGATCGTTTTTTGCCCTCCTATTTGTTGACGGAGCTTTTGATGCGAGAGGTTCGCGACTCTACTGGAATCCGCAACATCATCCCGTGATCTCAAAGGAGGTACGCTCTCGCAATCGGAACTCTATCTGCTACGCTCTCGCTCTGAATAACTGTTTCTATGGAGATTTCCCGTAGAATTTCCGGTGACTTTTGTTCGACTTGGAATTTGGATAATGTTTTCTTCTTATTTGATTTCTCGTCTTGATTTTTGAAGCTCGTTGGATAGGGATTCATGTTTATGGGAGGAATTTATAACTAGTTTAAGGAATGTATGGTTGAGTTTTTAGTCGCGTAGATATTTGATTCTGGAGTCACTTCTTCTTCTTCTTCAACAGTTGCATCTTCTGAGTATAAGCTAAGAGCAACAGTGTAAGCCCCATTTTTACTCTCTAGGAACCATACAGCTTCGAATTTCCTGTCATAAGCAGATTTTTTGTTATCTGCAGAGGCCAAGGGGATGGAATATGCAAGGGCTGCAATTTTATTATCAATCAGTTGTGGGAGCAAAGGATTTTATCTACTGCCTTACATTTGTCACTTCTCATCTCTGTCTCAAGTGTAAGAGTTGATTGAATTTTTGTGTGTGTGTGTAAATTCCTTTAAATTACATACATTCTTATGTTATATCTAAGTCTGAGCCTCCTTATCAATTTGTCGCAGTTGCTATGATTCTCATCTTGTGTCGAGCACTTGAACCAAGTTCTTGAGGCGTAACTTTGCTCGCTCCACCATATACAGGTAGGTTGCATCCACCTGATCAGCAAGTTTGATTTTAGTTCTCGTTTTCATTTGTGGATTCTTACCGATGCTTACCTCTTTCCCTGTGTCCTGTTCTGTAATGGTTTTTAAGAAAGTGATTGGAAGATCCTTGTGTGTGTGGGTGGAGTCAAACACAACTACCCTCAACATTCTCTCATCGCAGTCTGAGATAGCCACTGGCTTCCTTCTGTATACCTCTCTGCTCTTTGTACGCTCGTTGGATAGGGATTCATGTTTATGGGAGGATTTTCTTGTTTTTATTTTATTTTTAACTGAACTCTATGTTACCTCTCTGTTACAATCAGGTACCAGTTTATATCGCAGAAATAACACCAAAACATGTCCGAGGAGCATTTGTATTTGCTAATCAGGTAACTTTAAGAATAATAACCAGGAAATAATCATAATTTAGCCTACAAATGAGATTCTCATACTAATAATCTTTAAAAATGGTTGTTACAGCTGATGCAGAGTTGTGGGGTTTCATTATACTATGTCATTAGAAATTTTGTTCATTGGCGTCATTTGGCCTTGATTGGTATATTTTGATTGCACTCAAAACATTTTTTTTCTGAGCAATTTTTTAGTGACGGGAGAATGATTTACAGACTTATCGGTTTCATTTTTTAGTGATGGATTAGCTTTCGGAGCTGAACGTTGGATCGCTACTCTCCAAAGAATGTGCGAGAGGTTCGCGACTCTACTGGAACCCGCAACATCATCCCGTGATCTCAAAGGAGGTAAACACTTTGAAAGGTTTAATGATCTTAAATCAATCAGCTTAATTAGCCTTCCAAGTAACACATTTTGAAAACCTTTATTGAACTATTTCTCATAAGAGATCAACACTTTGAAAGTTGCGACTGTGATTGAATCGATTTGAATTATTAGTTATAAGTTATGGGTTAAGTATATATTAAACGTTTTATGCTCTGTTTCTGAGTACGCTCATTACTCTCTGCAGGTGAAGCAAAGGCCGGCTCTAGATTACATGGAGAGGATTCAGTTAAACATCAATTCGAACACTCGTTCCATACAGAATGACTCGCTCGTGGAGGTACGTTTCCATGAATCCTGGTTCATGAAAGCAATGAATTTAGTTTAGTTTTAGTTATAGATAAAGTGTTGCGACTGTGATTGATAAATGCTTGTTAGTGTTAGCTGGTAATAAATGCCTGTTAGTGTTAGATTATGGTTGTGACTGTCATGAATGGTTAGTGATGATTAGATTATTGTTGTGACCGTCATGAATGGTTAGTGATGAATGCTTCTTAGTGTTAGATGTGGTTGTGATGAATGCTTCTTAGTGTTAGATACATGTCAATCACGATGTAAATGTAAACTACTGCCCTTCTCTTTCTTTTCATCTTTTAAACCTGTTGCTTTTTCTCTTTCTTTTCATCTTCTAAACTCATTCCTTCTTGTCCTTGTTATCATCTTTTAAACACATTTCTTCTTCTCTTTCTCTCTTCTTTGACATTTTTGTTTATGGCTTCTAGGAATCAATATAATCAGACCTCCAATTTTGTTGACCTTTTGAACCGTCAACAAGATAGTGTCATTCCTGAACCTTTTCCCTATGAAAGTTTTTCCCATAATGTCGAACTTGGATCATCACAAGTCCCTGTCTCACCTCTCTAACCGGTGGCACCAATCGTACTCGTGTCATTTTGGTTTTCTCGGTCAAAACGAATGTTCAACCAGCCCGCTACTTAAATGTGGAGTTTAATAAACTAACTGATGACCTTCAGAGAGAGAGTCATATACTTTATATTACTGTAGCTAAATTTTGTAAGAAGATTTTGACTATTTTTCTTCTTCATATAGAATTAGATTTGACCGTATTTTTTCATTTTTTTGAACATTTTTAATTTTAACCATAGTTTCTTTTGTTGAAAAAAAAACCATGTTATACGTTTCTTATGTTATATATGTATATACAGAACATTGAAGAAAAAAATATTGTTTTATTTACATACATATATATAAATGCATAAACAATTGGAGAAATTAAAGGAAATTTTCCTCTTTGAATAAGGAAACATGTAGATTGTTGGGGATAAAGATAGAGATAGAGATTTCCATTGTTAGAAAAAAGGATAGAGATATATTGATATATTGTTAGAAAAATGAGCTTAAATTTAGGACCAAATACGTATAGGAATTGGAATTGCCGTGCGTGTTATATATATAAAAATAAGTATGTTGAATCAAGGGAGAGATTAAGAGATTTCAGAGAGATGGATGTGAAAAGGAAGAAGAGCAGAAAGGAAGACGAGGATGCAACTAGCAAATTGCCGGAGGATCTACTCTGTCACATCTTGTCTTTCCTCCCGCAAAAAGTGTCAGCTTCAACATCGGTTCTGTCCAAGAGATGGAGAGGTTTGTTTAGATTGGTATCTACTCTTGATCTTGATGACTCCATCTTCGTGCTTGGTGAAAGATCCGAAGAATGCAAACGCACTAGTTTCATGGAGTTTGTGAATAGAGCTATTGACTCCGATTCTCCCATTACCAAATTCTCTCTAAGATGCCATAAAGGCGTAGACGAACATCTTGTTAAGGATTGGGTCACGAAAGCTCTCCGACGTGGAGCAACAGATGTTACCTTAGTATTGCTCTTCCCTAACCGTGGATTCGCACTGCCTCGTAGTATCTTCAAGTATGCCCAAACCTTGATTAAGCTGAAACTAGGTTGCGGGAAAATTTGTGGCTTCTGTGCCCTAACTCGAGGAGACATAATCTTTACAAGGCTTACAACTCTGCATCTTGATTCTGTTGACCTCGGTCGTAATGGTGCCAATTTGGCTCTGATTCTATCTAAATGCCCTGTTCTTGAGGAGTTGATCGTAAATTGTATACGATTCGACCGTTGGATATCGGATGCATCGGTGTCTTCCCAAACACTCAAGAGACTAACGATAGATGGTGGAGAATTCATTCCACCGGAAAGTTCTCGCCAGACCCTTACAATGCTTAAAGAATCTGGCTCTGGAGAGCCTCAGCTCTTGCCCGATAAATCATCTTGTGTCGAACCTGCCCATGTTTCGTTTGATACTCCAAACCTTGTCTACTTAAACTATGCACATGTTCTTGCGCGCAGCTATCCGCTTGTCAAGTTGGATTCACTTGTTGAAGCTAGGCTAGACGTTGGATCGACCCGACATCAGATGCGTGCAAGAGATTCATCAGGCGGACATGAAGTTGGTTACGACGCCACCAATCTTGTCATGGGAATACATAATGTTCAAACCCTTCACTTAACCTCTGATACAATTGAGGTTTTTCCTTCTTTCTTCCCTCTTTCCCTTGGTTAAATCATTTGTTATGACCCAACAAAGAGATTTGTATTGATGCGTGTGTGTTTTCAGGTGTTCGGAGACTTTTGTAAGACCGTACCGGTGTTCCACATTTTGAAACATTTATCTATTGAGAGTGACCATGAACGAACATGGCAAGCTTTGCCTCTCTTGCTCATCAACTGCCCCACTCTACACACTCTCGTCTTCCATGTAAGTACTTGCACACACAAGAAAGCTCTGTCTTCCATGTAAGTACTTGCACACACAAGAAAGCTCTGTTTTTCACTTCATTATAACTTTTTTACTAATTATGCATCTTCCTCAGGGTCTGCACCACCGTGTTACAGATGGATGTGGAGATGCTTGTGCCTGCATAACTTTTCCTTCTTCTTCTTCTTGTTTATCATCGTGCCCTGTGAAGATTCTCAAGATATTGGACTTTGCTGCAACTTGTGGAGAGATGTCACTAGTCAAGCATTTCATGAAGAAGTGTCCTCTGCTTGAAGAAGTGACCATCGTACTAGACTTTGATTCCACCTTAGAAGAGGATTTGGATCTTTTTGAAGTTTACGAGGCACTGGAGATGGCCCCAAGAGCTTCACCAAACTGCAAGTTTGAAGTCCTTAGTTAATAATTCGGTTTGAACTGATCGGTAGCCAAATAATATATACATTATGTTTTTTCTCTTTCAAGTCCACAAAATTGTTGTACCTTAATTATAAACTTTGGTAATCCCCTTTTATTATGGTTGCTCCACGATTAGTGGATAAGTCAAACATGTCCTGCATCAGCTATTTATCATCATAATTTAAGTTGATAGCAAATCTCATAGGTTGTTTGTTTTCATACAATGAGTCATACTAATAATTCACAAGATAGGAGAGAGCAGACCAAGATTTCATCTCAGAAATTTTTAAAATAAAATAATAGCAAAGATGAGTTGGTCATAAAAGAGAGTCGCATGACATTTGCTAAAGCATTTACCAAAACCTTAAGACTGACAAAAGAAAAGCACGCATTTGCAGATGCAACTGGGAGAACTGGATAAGAGAAAACAGAGAGGTAACAAAGAGAGCACAAAACAGACTTATGTTGTCTTCAGTCGTGATCACAGAGCTTTGGTTCTTCATGTTTTGAGTTAGTAGTAATCTTCAAAAACCGTGACGACCTCGCACTGTGGCGAAGCTCTTGAAAGCCTTAGCAGATCAGTGGTGATTCTTAACTGTTCCTCGGCACTTGTTCCCCTAGACCGAACATTGAGCAACTCAAGACGTGGCAATTTCCCTAAGAAATGCTCCACTTGCGCCAACTCACCTGCAGTTCCCCTGTCCAACAATTCTATCTCCAGGACCTCAACAGGATATGCCAATAGACAATCATACCCCGACACACACTCGCAAACGTAGTCATCAGCTGGAAAATCACAATCGCACTCCGAGCTCGACACACACTCGCAAAGGCAGTCAGGTTTATCAACATAATGCAATCCACCCTGCAACAATACTAGAATTGATGATTGAAGATTTAGGAGTATCTACATGGTTTTGGTAATTTCCAAGGTTTAAGAGATGGTACCTTGATGATCATCATCTTGACATTCGGAGTCTTGTTTAGCAGAACGGGCAGAAAGCGCCAGCAACATCGCAGGTCATCCTGTTCGAAAGTTAAATGATGCAAGTTTTCAAACACTGGGATGGCTTCGCGGAAGAAGTAGAGCCTCTGAAATCAGGTAAAAATCAACAAGTAAGCTCAAATATTCTTGGAACAAAAACGCATCAAACACTCACGGAACATCCTAGGAAACTTCAGGAAAACGCATCAAACACTCATGGAACATCCTACGAAACTTCAAGAAAACGCATCAAACACTCACGGAACATCCTATGAAACTTCAGAAATACGCATCAAACACTCATGGAACATCCTACGAAACTTAAGATGATGCAAGCCTGATTCTCCTAGTCCATGTGTTTCTATTCTCTAAAGCTGTAACTAGGCAATACTAGAACCAAACACTCACCTCATGAGTCATTGAACATGTAACGTCAAGGATTTTAACGTTTCTTATGGCTTGGAGCAAGTTTGTTGGATTGCTCGTTAGAACATCACCATCTTGAGGAAATCTTCCACGCCAGTAGTGATCCACCACCACCTGAAGCCTGAGAGTAGCTTCCACAAGAGACTCCAAATTAACCCTGGGATAGTCATCAGGAACAAAGCCAGAGTATTCTAGGTAGGTGACATTAGGAAACTAGATTAAAATTTATTCTAAATTTTAAATTATTTATATTTTATTATTGGGCTTATAGTTTCCAAGTTTTTCCGTTCTAATCATACTTAATATTTTTTTATTTAACGAATATGCTGATGTGGACCAATCATATCGAGTTTTTAAATCTCATATGGACGCCCTCAATGCACTATGCCATACTCCAAATTAACCCTGGGATAGTCATCAGGAACAAAGCCAGAGTATTCTAGGTAGGTGACATTAGGAAACTAGATTAAAATTTATTCTAAATTTTAAATTATTTATATTTTATTATTGGGCTTATAGTTTCCAAGTTTTTCCGTTCTAATCATACTTAATATTTTTTATTTAACGAATATGCTGATGTGGACCAATCATATCGAGTTTTTAAATCTCATATGGACGCCCTCAATGCACTATGTCATCAACTTTTATATATTATATGATTAACTTAACTCAAAAATTTAAAATATAATATTTATAAAAAATATCTACATATATAATAAATTAAACTTTAATTTTTCAATAAAAAATGTGATTAATTCTTTTTTTTTCACATTCAAGTCTTCTAGTTCTAGTTCCAAAGTTATAGGTATTAAATTTTAATCTAGATTTGTTTATTGTTTTATAATTATTGATTATGAAAGATTTGATAATTTGTTTGTTTCTCTGTTTTAAAATCTGTCCTTATTGATGAATTTGTTATGATTTAGATTCTCTTTTTTGAATTTTTTTTTTCACTCATAGCAATTATTATTATTATTTCCATTAGTTTGAATCAAAACTTTTTGTAATAGTATAATTCTAAAAAAAATCAAAACCAAACCATATCAAACCGAACCGTAAAAAACCAAACCATACCGAACCGAAATATATATGACTTTTACATGATTTGAATTTTTGTAAAACCGATAAACCGTAAAACTGAAGAAACTGAACCGAAACCAAACCAAAAACCGAAGTGTCCACTCCTAATGATGCCTGCAATTTCCCAGATTGTATCTACAAACACAGAGTCGGGGAGAGTGAAGAAAGCGCTGCTTTCATTTGCTCGATTTCAATTGCTCGGAACTTTTCAGATCTTTCTACGAACGATGCGTTTTGCTTTTCAAAACCTTGTTTAAAACGCACCGGTTAGATTAGTTTGTACAATTTGAATATCTAATTTTATAGTCTCATTAATTAACGAGTTATTAGAATTAGGACTGTCCATTTAATTACCTCGATCGGGTTTGGGTTGGATATTCCGGGATTTCAGGTGTTTTAGTATTATGATATTTGCTATCAGTCGACACACTTGAATTCAGATATAATCCGATCTTAGTTTAATTACTTTTATCTGAAAATATTTGAAATACATAAAAAATAACCAAAATATTTGAAAGTAAGATAATTTTCAAAATTAAAATTTAATTTTCAATGTCTCAGAATAAAAAAAACATATAGAAAAATAATTAAGAATTTCAAATTTATATATGTTCAAAAATATGAAAATTAGAAAAGAAGAAAGTGCAACAAACGGTAAAAGAGGTATATGGACTTCAATTTTGGAGTCGTGTAATTCAGCTACATGTTCGGATAGTGTTGTCACATTTTTGCAGTTATTCGAATTCGATAAGGAGAGGATCGATCGAGTAACCAATTGCAAATTTGCTACAAACCGTGTTGTCACAAATATGTTACGTTACTTTCACAAATCATTGACTATCACAATTCACAAATTTATTTTTGTTCTGCGACTACAAAGCCATCATTCGTTGCTAATTTGCTATTTGCTGAATTTGTATTGGTAGTGTTAACTTTGTAAACCGCAAAAAAAAATTTTAAAAGTCAAGTGAACAAATGAAACGTAAATAATCTAGTTATGTTTTGACCAGGGTCTCCAATTGATGTAGCGTCATCATCAACAAAAAAACAGAGCATCATTAAACAGAGCTTCGTTAACACTCTAAGTTTAAACTATGGTTTTGGAACTTTTCCTATGTTTTGTTATTTCTTTTTCATGTTTTAGACAACCGACTTAGCTTAGCGATTTTTCTTAATTCTCTTGTTATAAATACTCAAGAGAGATTTCTATTGTTCGATGGTTTTTGATTAATAAAGTAAGAGATTTTTTCTTCTCTAAACCCTTGTGTGAATTCATCTTCTCACAAGGTTATCAACATTAAAGCTAGAACCCAAGCTTCTTAGCTTTCTTGTCTTCTATGCTTCTAGTTGCGACATCAGTTGGTATTAGAGACAGCAACGTTCCTTCATCATGCCGCCGAAAAAAAATCTTCAACAGCAACGTGATGAGCAAGCCGAGGTGATGCAAGAGGTTTTAGCGGAATTCACACAAGACTTGCGCCAAGCGATGCAAGCATCTATGGAAACCGCCATGCGTACAGTGCTTCAAGCACAAGTACAACCCATTCGACACAACCAACGGGCTCCACTGGTTGACGAAGATCAAGAGGAGGATGATGAGAATCCGTTTGCCGGAAGAAATCAACATCGTCATCAACAAGCGTTAGGTGATGTTCTCGGAGGAGTTAATCACCGATGGGAATCGGGTTTTCGACTCGACCTTCCTGAATTTGCCGGTAGTTTGCAGCCGGAGGAGTTTCTCGATTGGGTCAGTACAACGGAAGAGCTTCTAAACTTCAAAGGTGTTCCTAATGCGAAGCGTGTTCCGCTTGTTGCGACAAGGTTTAAGGGCCGAGCTTCAGCATGGTGGCAACAACTCAAAATCCAGCTAGCTAATTCTGGGAAGGATCGTATTGTTTCTTGGGAAAAGCTTAAGAAACACATGCGTAAATACTTTCTACCATATAATTATGAGCGGATGATTTACACCCAATTTCAGAACTTACGTCAAGGCAACAAGAGTGTTGAGGATTATTCCACGGAATTTTTTTCCTTGTTGGCTCGTAATAGTTTGTGTGAAACAGAGGTCCAGTCTGTTTCTCGTTACATTGGTGGTTTGCGACAGCAACTTCAAAACCAACTCCTTTTGTTCAACCCTTTATCCATCTCTGAAGCACATCAAAGAGCTGTGTTAATTGAGCAAAATCTGAAAAGCTCGACATGGTCCTCTTCGATTTCACGAGCTCGAGCTGCTCCATATCCTGAACCGCTTAACCAGACCAAAACAGAGCAGACAGGAGTATCAAGTTCGCAAGAGGGTGGTGGTGCTAACTTTCCTCCGAATCCTGTTCGCAACATGACATTCAAGTGTTTTAATTGTGGTGAAACGGGGCATCGTCAATCCGCTTGCCCCAAGCGAGTTCTTTTTACTGAAAACGAGATTGTGCTTGACGAAGACATCCTTGACCAACAGGAAACAGATACATCAGAGCAAGTTGTTGGTGATACTGGTCCTGTTTTAGTCGTAAGAAGAAATTGTTTCACGCCCCAGATCATGGAAGAATCATGGTTGAGAACCAACATATTTTGTACCACTTGTACGATTCCTGGAAAAGTGGGTCGTCTATTTATTAACTCCGGCAGTTGTACGAACATTGTGTCCGAGGAAGCTGTCACAAAGCTTGCTCTGTCCACAGAACCCCATCCTACTCCATATCGTT